ATTATCAAGTGATTAAGTTAAATTATACTATTTTAAAAATTTTAAAAGTCTTTAAATATCATACATTTTAGATTCTGAGCAGATATTTAATTGACGGTTTTATTATTTATATTTTGTCTTCTTTACCTTCACCTTCATCTCAACTTTTTGTTATCGTTCATTTTTATTTTAAACTTCTACTTGACCCAATCTCAAACATCTCCATCTATTTTCTCATTGTATCTACAATCAAGTTATTCCTTAGGTACATCTTATGTACTCATTCCTTATCCCATTTTCTCTTGTAAATCCACTAATTCACCTAAGTATTCTCATCTACATACAGTTACACTCATTCTCTATTTTGTTTTTATGATTATCGCTAAACACTTCGAATCATTCAAAATATCCCCTCTCACTACATATTTGTAGAACTTACCTTTAAGTCTCATTGAAATTCTCTTATCCCATAAAACACTTAAGTTTCTTTCAACTTAAATGTTTAATACAATTTGTTTACTCACAAAAAATTGTGACTATTTTAACTATTTTATAGTTAAAATTGAATAAAAAAACATTTTTTTAATGTTCAACAAAGCTCCACTTAAAATATTACTTCTTTCTCTCCTACAGTGATGTGATATATGTGTTTTTTTAAATTATTTTAACATTCATAAACAATTTATATTAATTTCCTAAGGATGGTACTTAAGTTATTAATCACTTTTTTTTCTGCAGGGACTATTTCATCCTGCTCGTAAAGTCCGTGATGTCTACTGGAAGATTTATAATTCACTATACATAAGCGCCCAAGATGCTTTAGTTGCTGGGTACCCACACATAGAAAATGATGTAAAAAATCAGTATGTACGATACGAACTTATGTATACATTATAATTTTGTTTGATTTATCTAACATAAATAATTTTGTTGTAAATATTCTATTAAATGTGTATCACCTATTCATTTTTTGAATAATATTCTATCCAATGTCAAATAAAAAAGAACCGGTAATAATTCATTTAAGATACCAATCTACCGTCATATATTTTAAGCTATTAAGAGGTATATTATACTATTATTTTTTGTATTTTCCTTTTTTGAGGGGGTTAGAATAGTCACGTGTTTTATAATTGTATCACAATAAAAGTTTGTAATTCTGTCCATACTAATATTTTTATTTTTTTTTTTCAAATATATAAATGCATAGGACTTGCACAGATATTATTTAATGTTTATTGTACTTGGATTATAAATTATTAAATTTAAATGAAATAATATATTATATATATATATACAAATTATTATATTGCATATTGATCAACATTATGAAAAAGTTTATTTTTGCACCAGAAATTTTGTATAGAGGTACCTATATGAACTGGCCTTCCAGGTCCCCAAATCTCGTTACAGAAGTCCGCCAAAGGCTTTGTGATTCCCTACCAACACATTGAAACAAACTAATTATTGCATTTATATTAAACGTGTATAATTTAATGCAAGGTTACATGTTCATTTTGATTCGAACTAAGTATACACTTAGAATTTGAACGGATTTTTAAAAAAGCTTTTTATTATAATTCCTGAAAAATGCATAAATATGTACTTAACACGTCTATGTGCATAACCATCAATATGTTCACTCGAATATATACATTTTGATTGTGTATTGTGTCAGCCCATTTCCGTGACAGTGAGCAAATAAGTAAGCAGCGCGGGTATGTAAATACATCACTAACCACGCTCCTGGCATTGTCACTGCTCGACACTCTCGTTAAAAGCGGTAAATTGAACAGCGCGAGCAGCAACCCATAACCGGCACATATTAGCAGGGCAACGTAAACACTCGCTGCTACTGTAGTATTGTTGGGATTAAATGCAGCAGTGCGAGGGGCTATGGCTATGGCTGTACGTCAATGAGACATTACATAAGTCCATTGTCCAACGACTAGTCGATTATACATTTTTATTGTTCTAATATACAATTCAAGGAATTTGTTACTTCTAATAAAAAAAAATTCATATTGTGAAAACACTGTTTTAAGATCGCATGCCCGTAAAATCCTATAAAACTGTATTTTTAACAGACTTTGTGATTCTGAGGGATTATGACGTCTTCAAAAATTTTTTTTACGTATTTATGCGTGCCGCTTTACGCATATAAACTGCAGAAAATATTCAATCTTTTTTTTATGCGTATACATTGTGAAGGGGGCGGAGAGTTTCTGCCATTTTTTATTCTTTATTCCATGTGTCGCACGTCCCAACAACGTTGTTTAATATAACTGTGGTTTAGATCACGGCCATTATCGTTTGGTTAGCCGTGGTTCGGATCCATTCGTATTTGATAAGGATTTTGATCAGATAATATTACATCACACTAATCGCGCGTATTACGGTTTTTTGAAATATTTCAAAAATGTTCCGTTTTACAGAAAACAATAGGTGTACAATTCTCAATGGAAGACTTTTATCGACTCCTACTCGGGGTTTTCATTAAATTATCGTTATTTAAAAAAAAAAAAAATGTAGAGTATTCTCATACCTATTGGATATCGGATAGTGTATACGAAAACGGTGTTTTTACTTAGTTACCACGATTATTTTAGACGGTCGTGGTTTATACCATGACATAATCAACTGGGTATGATATTAACACGCGGATTTCTGTCTCGAACAGCGCGAGTGTGTTGCCCTGGCATTTCGGAGTATCGGCACTTTGAGCGATTCGGTTAATCGTCGCGCACAGTTATTAATTAATATGAATTTCCCTCTTCGTCCGACCGTCGTGCGAATTATGTCCGTCTCTTTTTTTTTTCGGCCTGGGACGAACTACGACAAGACCTATTGAGAGCTGTCCGAAGCTACAAACTGGGGGGGGAGGAAATGATACGGAACCGTGGAAGCTGCGAGAGCGTTAACAGTGGCCGGCGGCTAAAACCCATGAAAAGTTATGAAGTCAAATGGCGATAATGATCGCGCTGAATGCTGCGGCGCCGATTACCTACAATATCCGCGTAAGTTATAGTGCGTAATGTTATTGAGTGTCGAGAGCGACAGCGGCGGCAAAGAAGGTACTGCATTATAACATGGCCGCGGGGTTCGAGGACGTATTGACGTTTGAACATTTCAAATTGTGAGCGCTCGGATAGCCCGTTCAGTGGCCGAATAATCAATTGAAAAATATTCGTACAAACCTAGAAAAAAAAAAAAAAAAAAAAAACCAAATGCCAAAAGTACCGAACCCCCCGGCCTGCGGGTAATGTATTCCGTTTTTGTTCGTCGCGCGCGATAGACCCGACATTTGGTCTTTTCATTTCACTCCGGTCGCGTGACGTTTTCATTCGCGCACTCGGGCAATAGTGTAGCGGGCCGTTTTCGCGGGACGCGCGTGAAAACCCGCAGCCTGCGCGCGTGGAAACGTGCGAATCCGGCGATCGGCGAATGAAGTCCGGAATTCAATTTTTTTTTTTTTTTTCCTGCTGCTACTTTCCGCAACTGTCGAATAACTTGTCGTCCGTTATTCGTATTAATTTATTGCTTGGTGATTTATTCTTTACACGGTAAAATAGTATTGTTTTATAAATAACGCGTGTGTTCGTATTCCTTGGACCACGGTCGTTTCACTCGTCGCGTCTTATCGCTTGTCAAATATTATTTTCCGTCGAAACGGGAAATTACAAAAATATACGTCGATCACTGTCGAGTGTAGCACGATTACGACACCGTAGTGTCTAAAATTATTTCGCAGCAACACTCCGAGCGTTCGGATGGTCCGGATGAATAAATTATTCGCATAAAAAAATACTGTCGAACCGATAATAATTATCCGAAAGCGGAAATTATCGAATGAGTAATTATTTGAACGGTCCATAACGATTATTCGAAGATCAACTGTCGAACAATTCGGTTGTTATCATTCGTTACCGCCACTCGCCAGTAAGCGTACCTATGCGAACACGTGTGCGCTTTAGACCCGATACCCAACGTGCGCAACACAAGCAATACGATACGACAAAGATGTTATAATACGCGCGTATGCGTATGCGTAAAGTTGAGAGTTTTCTCTATGAATACAAAAAAAAAAAAAACCACGTTTACGTTTTTAAATCAAACTCGCCTCTTCCCCCGGGAGAATGTTTCGATCCGAAGCTTAGCGACATTAACGCGGCGCTACGCCTACCGTCCGGACCTGTCCGTTGTTTTTCACCGCGTCCTCCGTCTTCCGGTTCGCGGCGACAACAGTCCCGTACCGCCGACCGCGTGCAACCCCGGCGTCCCGTCAGAAAACGCGCCCGGGCCGCCCGGTACCCGTGCCCGTCACCGGCCGCACAAGCGCCCGTACCGGTCGCGACGTCCGTCCGGACGGCGGCCGCGCCGGGGCGGATCGACGCCGCCCGCTCACTTTTCCCCGGAGTTTTCTCCCTCGCCGCGCGCAATAAAACGGCCGTATCCCGCGACCGTAAACGGCGATCCCGTAGCGTCGGATTTAACGCGTCACGCGTTTTACGACCCGTAATCGCGCACGCCACCCGCGGCGTTTATGACAATAACAATATAACGCAGGCGGATAACCGGCGTTATCCCGGCCACGGAAATCGCTGCGTAAATTAACGATCAAGTTTAACGGTCCGTACCGGACCACTCGGAGGCGCGTAGTGGTTACCCATTATTAGCCGGTATGATTCGCGTTTGTAAGCGGTCCCGTCGTTTCGATTGCCGCCCGTCGTTCGTTCGCCGGCGGCCGTCACCCAGCCGCGTTTCGCGCCCGGTCGACAGTCGAAACCGTCCCCGTCAGACGGACGGGACATTTACACGCAGACCCGCGCGACTCGTCGTTGTCGGAAATTCGCCGGACGTTGTCGAAACGACAATTGTTTACTGTTCGCGATAGTAGAAAGCACGTACGGGGAGGGGGCGATGTAGTTACTTTTTTCACGAACGGGGGAGGGGTGGGCCGCGGTATATGCGCTGATAACTGATTGCGATCAATTTCACGACGCCGGTTATCGATTTAATTTGTTTTTGTTTTTTTTTACGAATAATTGAATTCGTTTTTATTCGATTTCATAATACCCACCTAATCAAATAGAATGAAAAAAAAAACAAAAAAAAAAAAAAANGTTGAGCTAACTGACATTTTAAAACTCATTTTGAGAGTTTACAGTCGCCGTGAACCCGTCGGTTTTTAAGAAAATTCGGACGAATTCAGTTGTTGTACTCGGGAACGCCCGTTGATTTTCGGGAAACGCGCGGTCACCTTTTGGGGTTTTTTTCCCCCACTTTCACTACGCCTTGCTGTGGAGCGTCTTTGTTCGGCTGAAGTTCGGCACGAGACCGTTTAACGAGAAAACAAAAAAAAGGTTTGAATCATTACGTTGCGCTATAATAGTTGGTTGGTAGGCTGCCTAAAGGTACGGTTTACCTTGCGCGATCGCGAACGCGATCCGATCTAAGATCGCGCGACTACTGACACAATGTAAATTAAATACAGTTGATTTTCCTTGCGCGATCGCGGTCGGCGATCTAAATTCGATCATCGTCTTCTTCTTCAAAAAGAATTTTCAATACATTTACGTCGTCAGATGCGTCCATTATAATTTAAAAATTCACAGTGCCTATAGAAACCGTAACTCAACACCGAAATGTAATTATAAATACGTTTTGTTAACGTCTCGCAGACGCGAACCGATTTTCGCCCCGCAATCCTGTTCGACGCGACCCGTGCTTTACACCCCCAAATGGCCCGCGGGTATTCACGGCGTGCGACGGATTTTCAGATATTATCGTGTATTGTTATTACCGCGCGGGGCCGTCCGCCGAGAGCCTATACATAACATAACCGTTCGCTATTACACCTGTAATATTATATTGCGCTGCATTTGTACGAGATTATTTATAAAGCAACCGTGACCCCGCGAGCCTTCATCGCTATACCCGTGTAACTACCGAGCGCCGGTACTGTAACGCGACGTCGCGATATTGTTATTGTGTCACGCCAGTTGCCAGCGACACCGAACTGCACCGTAAATGAACGACCGATAAACAACAACGCTGTAATTAAAACAATAGTAATAACTGTTAATTTTCTCAACTACTTACCATTTATTTTATTTTTTTTCCGGGCGGCAGGAACCACACGATTATTCCGTAGAAAATAGTAAAGGGAGAAAAAATATTAGCCCAAGGGACGGCATTATGCCGCTGCTAGGGTAATTGTCTAAAGTTTACGCTATTTTTTCTTTTGGCATTTTAAAGAAATTTAACAGCTATTCAAAAATAAATGTTTGTTTTGTATAACAATTAATTATAATTAGAAAATGTGGATAGGGTACCATTAAACCCATTATTTTAAAAAAATTTACAATAAGACGTACAAATATTAGTTTTGATACAATTTTAAATCTAAAGAACTTAAGGTATTTAGCGGGTAGTGGTAGATAGGCAATAACTAATGTGATAGGTGCATAGTCATAGCTATAAACAGAAGTGCTTAGAGAGTATATGATGTCTTTTTAGCTACACGTTTTGAAAAGCCGTTTACATTTACGATTTGAGTATAAATTTAGTATTCGAATTCTTATAATCTTATTCTTTACGATTCTGAGTTGACTCTATAAAAAGCTAAATATAAGTTTTCGGTCGAACTTTTAAGTCTCTAAACATATTTTTAACTGAATCGAAACAAAACAAAAAATTGAAAACATAATACATTTTGAAAATTTTCTATTTTTCCTACGTTTTTTCACATTTATTAAAAAAACATATAGGAAAATTGAAAAATGACTTTCCTAAAGCATCACTCCAGTCATATTTATTTAAAAAAAAAATTGCTATATATGAAAGTTCGACCGAAATTACTGGTAGAAAAATTGTCCATAGAAAAAAAAAATAAAAATCATTGCAACAAATACATGCTTTGCTCCGATCACAATCAACAATGTATTGTTTAACTAATTGTATTTGAATTCCTTCATCATTTAATGTGTAAAATACAAAAGAGAAGATTCTGCAATAAAAAAATGAAAAACACATATATATCTAATGGTATTTATATATATTTAAATATTTTATATATAATAACAATAAAAAACCATTTTTAAGTATTTGTATAATTTTAGTAAATAATAGTAAAGAATTAAAAACTAAGTAATTTTTATAAATTAAGAGTATAATTTTCTAAATTTGAAATGGAACGATTAACTTAAGGTTAA